TGTTTATAAACCAAATCAAGTACCTAACACAACACTAAAACGACACCAAATGAAGAAACTTCTTGAACTTAGTGTTTGCAATGTTCCTTTTCGTTTCTTAGAAAAGAATTTCGTGCAAATGGATGGGTTGCAATGGGCAGTCCCGTCGCTCCACTGCTGGCAGACATATTTATGTCAAATTTAGAACGGAATGTAAACCGATTTTCAACAAACAAACCTCTACTCTGGTTGAGATATGTAGATGACATTTTCTGTGTTTTCAAAATCGGTCAAGACATCGATGACTTTTTGAGAAGAATCAATAAATGGCACACATCTATTCATTTTATGATTGAAAAAGAACAAAATAATCAATTAAATTTCTTAGATGTGTTAGTTTGTCGTGACCCAACTACAAACAAGTATAAAACAACCATCTATCGAAAAGCAACACACACTAACCTCCATCTACAATATGAAAGTAATCAGTGCCGCAAATATAAATTGGCCTGATACGTACTCTAGTCATCCGAATTTTATTAATTTGTTCAAATCCTGACGATTCCAAAAACGAATTGAAACTACTATCCGAAGTTCTACAAATGAATGGTTATCCAGAACATTTGGTAATACGAGGAATTCGGGAGGGAGAAGTGATAACAAAGAAAATAAAAGATAAAAACAATAATAATGATCAAACGACTCAACAACAGCAACAAACAACTAAAAAGAAAAGTCTTCTTCACTCTACCCTACTATGGGCTCGAATCAACAATTCTCGGCTCAAAAATCAAGAAAATCTCTAACAAACTCTTTCCTCATCTTAACGTCATTATTTCTTATAGGAAAACCTTCACCTTAAAAAGTGTATTTCTGCCTATTCAAAAAGGAAAAGATCTCACAAAATTAAACAAAAAACTGGTGTATAAAATTCCCTGTACTGACTGTAAAAAAAAGTTATTTCGGTGAAACTGAAAGAGAGAAACAGACCCGCATGGCTGAACATAAAAGAGACATTCGAAATATGATTACAAATTCGGGAGTAGCACAACACGTCCTACATTTCAATCATAAATTTAATTTTACAAAATGTGAAACTTTCTCTTTGAAATCCGACTGGCGAAGACGTGTGATAAAAGAAGCATTATTTACAAAAGAAAGTCATGGACACTCTCTGAATGAAGTTAAACATCGATTAAGAGTGTTTTAAATCACTTAACGTTCATTTCTATCGCTCCATTTAGGAGAGTTTGGAGGGCAAATAATGTTCTTCGAACATATTTATTCGAATAAATATGTCCGTTGACCGTTTCAATAAGAATACAAATCATCATTGTTCTTTATCTCTCTCTCTTATGTACTTTGAACCTATTTCTCAATAGTTATGTCATTTTGTTTTTTCCTGAAGATGAAAGCAGAAGCTTTCGAAAGCTTGAATAATAAAATCAAAGTGTGGGAATTTGGTAAAATTTTACTACCATGATCTTTATAGCAGTACTGTACTCTCTCCATTTTCGGTACAGTTGACAAATTGCTGCCATGGTCGTCTATATCATTACTAGCTATCAACCACAGCTCTGATCGCAAGACTAGACTGACATGAGTTCCAATTGCTTGAGCTTTTCATCTACAATCACTAACTACATACTATATTTCCGAAAAGTCATGGAAACTAACCGGAAAAACCGTATTATACATCGCAACGCAGTTAGTTGAACTACAAAATGATCCAAGGCAGTAAGATAGTAGTAAGTAATTTGCTCAAGGTTATTACAGAACTTGTCGTAGTCGATGTTCGAACACAACACCTTTAAAATGCATGACGAACAGCATAACCACTACACCATACTTGAATATTTGAAAAGTCCTATACCTAAGAATCCTAACGAAAAATTTGAAAGATCTTTGAGAAGTCATAGAAGATAATACTAAATCTCATCTTGTCCAGAAACTAGTCAGAGGATGCGATAGTTAATTATAGCGATATATCAGACAAAGTTGTACTCAAAAGCAAGCATCGTATTTTGCCTTCGTAGTTCAGTTCTTTTAGTCAAAATTAATGAGATAAAAGACGCGATATCATCAATTATAAACTTCTTCTTTTTTGCTGTATTGAAGTGTTCAACAAAAATAATTTTGGAACTATAAGTAGGCAATTTTATTTGACATACACGTGGATCACATGATAGATTTTCTCTGTTTTCTATTCTCTTACTGTGTACATACAATCCTGTATTTCATTTAGAAACCGAGAACGAACGCCATTCACTTTTATCTGTCGTACAGTTTGTGTCATTTAAAAGAGCGTAAGTAGCAAACAATTTACTTTAATTGATTAAAGACTGTTGATGAATGATGATTCTTATCAAAGACATATTATCTCTTAAGATCGTTTACGTCAGAATTTGGCCGGCATTGAAGATATTGGTGTAATCATGGAGTCATTTTTCAGAGCAGAGTTATGCACAGTAGTATTATTACACCTTTGAGCTTCTGAGTAGAATTCTTCAATTGCTGTTAGCGCAAAAGACATTATCCATTCTCTTGTTTTTTAGGAAAACTACTCTTTTTTCACAAATAATATGAACGCGAAAGGAGAGACCAAAGTTAAAACTACTGACATTGATAAATTCAAAGTTCAATCAATTTTAGAAACAATACCATTCAATGAGGTAATTTGAAGGAGGGAACGAGCAGTAGTAAAGAAAAGTTCTATCGATGCGGAAGTGTGTTTTTCCTCGTTGGCTCAATTTAATTTCAAAATTGATTCTCAATAGCTGTATTCAGCTTTTTTTCTAGAAAATAACGCAAATTCAACTGCATCCAAATTTGACAAAAGGCCCATTACCATCGAAAGCCGTCGATGTGATGTCTCAGTGGTATTCTCAACATGAACAATCACCATATCCGTCGCGTAAGCTTCGTGATTCAATGGCTAAACAAGGTGGAATTCATGAGCAACAAGTAAAAACATGGTTCTGTAATAAGAGAAATAGAACATTGAATACGAAAACAAAACGAAGGAAACGAAGTGACAGCATAACAATAGAAAAACAGAAAATGGTAAGAAAGAGAGCGAAAAAATTTAACCTCTCTTACATTTTCACTAATTTTAGGTTGATCATATAATGGTAAAGCAGTTCTCTGACGATTCTTCTCCATTTGATTATCGTTTATTTATCTGTTTTATTCTTTGGCATCAATTATTTTCCTTCTACGCTAACATCTATTAAGTATCAGCCTTCACACCCGATCAAGTGCTCAATTTTATATCCATTTTTCAACAATATCTTGTAAAAATAGTACAACAAGATACTCAATGACGAATATAACGTACTGTTTTAATTTATAGTATTCAGAGAAATGTTGTAGTACAGTTAACATTTTCTTTTTTAGTAATTTTTTTTGTAAATAAAGAAAATAGGATGTCGCACATATACATGTCCGTAAGCACTCGCTTCCGTTTTTAGATGAAAAGAAGAGGTTTCCCTATGACAACCACCTACTATTATGGTCAAAATACACTTTGAATATTGGAAGGTAATGAGCAAAGTCTTAATTTTATGTTATTTTATTAATCATAAGCTACAATTGAAGATATATGAGAGAACGCTGTCATATTTAAAAGCTCTACAAGACTTTCCCTTTTAATTTTGAAGAAGACTTGCGATTAAAAATATATATATTAATCACTGTCTCCTTTAGAAATTTAGCTTTGATTTGTGAATAGGTTAACTCATGTTTTGAAACTCTCACTGTACAAAAGCATGTCATTTGATATTTTTGGTTTAATCTAATTATGATCTCAGAAAACTTAATTAACTACTGGCGCCATGAATATTTTAATATTTAGAATAGGATCGAGTTTTGATATTTATTTTGAATTTTTTTTTCGTACTTTTAAATTAAATTTTTATACAGAAAGAACATGTCTTCAGATACAGTTCAATTTCCAGCTGGACTCTCTCGTATGCTTCAAGATTATGTTGTTGATGCTTTACAAAATCACATTTCATCAAATCAGTTATATTCACACGCTGCAAAATATTTTGCTTCACGAAAAGATCAACAGCCTCAAATTACACAAACGAACTCAACAAACGGAATAAGTGGGGATGTTTTGGGTAAATGAGAAGAGCCATCACAAACATTTTAATGGTGATGTTTATTCATAAAAAGTTAACATACTCGTTCAGAAGATTTACAAAAAGAGTTCATAGTTTTTTTGGCGAATTTTGTGTGAAAAATAAATCGTTTTATTTATATCACTTGTTCTGATTAAATAGCTACAAGTTGATTTTCTGATTTACCTCATTTTAGATAATTTTGCCGGTGCAAATAAACATCGCCGTCAATCGGTATGGGGCGGCACACCGGATCCGAATCGTGATTTATCCGATCAAGAAATTGAAAAATCGCCGAAAGTGAATGAAAAACTATGTAAAATGGTCAAAGAACATGTGATCTATGTTGGTGATGATCCGGCACTTGTTGAACAATTTGTTAAATATTTGGCACCACGTGATGTTAAAAAAGATGAAGAAGTTATACGACAGGGTGACGAAGGTGATTATTTTTATTGTGTTGAAAATGGAAAATTTGACGTATTAGTTAATAATAAAAAAGTTTTTGAACTTGATAATAAAGGATGCTTTGGAGAAATTGCACTATTGTATAGGTAAGTTGAAAACTCTTTATTTAATTAAAATGATTATGATCGTTTTTCTTTGCTGTTTAGTCAACCTCGAACAGCCACGGTTAAAGCAACAACTTCCGGTCGTGTATGGCAAATGTCCCGTGATGTATTTAGTACATTAACTGTTTCATTCGCCATGAACCAACGAGAAAAATATATGAAATTTATTAAAAAAGTCGATTTTATATCAGATTTCATTTCGCGTGGATGGTTATCAGAGAATAAACTTCAAGATTTAGCGGATGCACTGCGACCAATATATTATGATCCAGAACAAATTGTTTTACAACAAGGGTAGATTCTTCAAAGCAAAAAAGTCTTGATTTTAGTTATCATTGAACTTCAATTTCAGTGATGATCAAGTAAATGAAATGTATTTTGTGGAAGAAGGAAAAGTGAAAGCAACAAGAAAAGAACAAGATGGTAGAGAAAAACAATTGAAAATCTATGAGGCCGGAACATATTTTGGTGAATTAGCTTTGCTTGAAAATAAGCCAAGATATGCAACATTACAAGCATTAGAGAAATGTCGACTAGCTGCGCTAGACGCAAAATCATTTGAAAATTTGTTAGGAACAGAATTAAAAACAAAATTAAGACAACATGTTGAAACATTATATACTAAAGGTGGCACAAAATAGACACAAGAACATTTATTGTTTTTGAGAGATATTGTTTAATAAATGTTATTTGAGAAATAAGACATATGCCCGGTGATTAATTTTTTCTTCTTCCATATGAGCGGCTTTTTTCTGTACCAGAAAGAAAAGTTCTGTTTTACAAAAGTAATCCATTTTTCAATTAGAAATTGTATAACCTGCACACTAGGTTTTTTTTGCAGATGACAAGCATTTTTCAGCTGCATATGACAACTTAAACTGTTCTTAAACATTGATTTTTCAATGTCATCAAAACTTCGGAGAAAGTAAGAATGTGAAAAAAAAGCTATCATTAACAAATGTCGAAGTGGATATTTTTTTTTTGTCTTAGAACCCGTGCAAGTAATGCAAAAGAATGTGTCGAAATAATTGAAAATGCATGGTGTCGTCATCGAGATCGGCAAATGTTTCGATTATTGAAACATGCTGTTTGTGCAGCAGTAAGTAATTTAATACGTACTAAACTTCAACTTACAGTAAATATTTCTGTTCTAGGAACATGCTTTATCGAACGATATACTTCGACGGCTATGTCCAAAAGAAGCTGAACTCTTAAAAGATCCAAGTTTAACTGTTAAAGTTAAATTTCGGTAAGAGTAAACATGATTTGATGTGATTATATTTTTTAACTTGATGTTTTATCTCTAGTTTTGGAGGTACAGAATTTCCACCGGTGATTTATTTTAAAGTTTTTGTTAGAAATTATAATGGCTCATTACCAAAATATGTAAACGGAAAAAAGATTATACCATCAGGATCAAAGGTATGTATCTGTGATATTTTATATTTAAAGTTTTCTTGTTTATTTTATTGAACTAGATAGGCTGCTTATTCAGCTTGTTCAATGATGGGTCAACGTGTATTTTATCAACAAATGTTAGTTGACTCTTTGCATGGAGCTGATGGAAAAGTAGCAGATGAACTTGAGATTGTCACAATGAAAGATTATATGCAAGTAAGATCATATATCTTAATCCATGTTGTTTCATAATTATTGCACGTTTCAAAAGTCACTATTCGACAAGAAATAGCTATAATTCCGTTATTTTCTGATTAAGTCAAGTTCATTCTTTTTTTATTTGATAGAAAAATGTTTAAAAATTTTAGATTTAAGTCAAAAATTAAAATACTATGAGTCTTCAAAGTTCAGAATAAAACTTGTTACATTAATGGCCATATTTAAATCGGTACACACTGATTCATCGTCATTTATGCGTCGAAACACGTCAGAATATTCCAACAGGAAAAAATAATTAGGTCTGTTTATGCTAAATTTCTCCAGACGGACTCGGTTGAAGATGCAAATCGTTCAGAAAGACCATTACCAATTATCAGAGACAAATTGCTTCAAGTTTCTGATCATTTCGACTCTCGATCAACGTCACCGATTCAAAATATGGCCATTAATATAACATTTTTTATTCTGAACTTTGAAGATTCATAGTATTTTAATTTTTGATTTAAATCTAAAATTTTTAAACATTTTTCTATCAAACAAAAAAAGAATGAACTCAGGAAATGACAGAATTATAGCATCTTATATATATAATATATTTAATTCATTTTTGTTATAGTACAATAGTATGCTGGATGAATTACCTGCTTATCTTGGTGGAAGAGCAAATAGTTGGAGAAGATTAAATCTTGAAGGTATAGTATATATAGTTTTTATTCAAGTTTTGAAAGAAAATTTTTTTCTTATCTCTCTAGATATTCCTCGACAGTCTATATTTTATGATGTTGTTAGTTATGTATCATCTGGTAAAGTATCAAGTGATTTACGTCAAAAATTACCCACATTAATGAAACATCCTACTTCAGAATCTGTTCAGATACAACATGTCGAATTATTAAAACAAATCAAGTATAATTTCTTTTATTTCTCTTTTGGATTATAAAATTAAAAAAAACATATTATTAAATTTTAGATCACTTGAATCAAATCGATCGAGTCCATCATTATCATTTATAAAAAATGCTGCATCTCAAAAACCAAAACCTCTTCAAACAAGTCGTCGTTCTCGTCAAGCACTTAAAAATGTATCACGTATGAGACAAGCCTATATTTCTACACGTTCTGAGAGTCTACCAACAACATTAATATTGGCATATGAAAAACAAGTTGAAGCAATGACTGGTGCAGTTGTTCATCCAACTCGTCAAGATGGTCGTCTAACACCAACACTAACAACATTAGACGATGATGGTAATAAATTTGATCAACAAGATGAAGATGATGATGAATTAGAAAATGATTTTAATGATCAAGCTGATGCATTATACGCATGGACAGAAGGTCTATCATGGAATGATGATTATTTTAAAACACCTCGAATACCAACAGCTTAAATTTAAACATCCTATACATTAGTTAGTCAAGTCATCTACTTTTATAATAATTTTAACATTAACTATATGTTTATTTTAATATTCTTTATATACACAATCAATAGAAATATAGATAAACAGAAAATGTTAAAATATAGAATTTTTTAAAGATAATAGTTTTGAATGTAAATAGGTTTTCTTATATGATAAATCTAATTGATTTCTTTTCACTTTTCGATATGTATAATCCGGTTTTACTATATACTTATTGAATATAATTCGTTTTTCAATTTTATCGATGAATAAAAAGTTTATCTTTTATCAATAAATAATAAAAATTAAATGTGTAAGTTCTTTCAAAGAATCAAATATCAATTTTCAACATCCTATTTTCTTTATTTTACAAAAAAATTACTAAATTTTTACAAGATATTGTTGAAAAATGGATATAAAATTGAGCACTTGATCGGGTGTGAAGGCTGATACTTGATAGATGTTAGCGTAGAAGGAAAATAATTGATGCCAAAGAATAAAACAGATAAATAAACGGTAATCAAATGGAAAAGAATCGTCAGAGAACTGCTTTACCATTATATGATCAACCTAAAATTAGTGAAAATGTAAGAGAGGTTAAATTTTTTCGCTCTCTTTGATAAAAATAAGTAAACTCCAAGAATATGAACGATAACTGAATAATAGCTAGTTCATGTTATGAAATACAAGTAATCGGATTGAGGTTAAAAGTCAAAATTAACTGTTGAACCATCGTTAATTTAATTATATTCAATTCTTTTGATGAATAGGCCATATTATTTCAAACAAGATAATAGAAATAAATGTTTTTTTCATTTGTGAAAAATTTCATACAAATGTACTTTAAAAAAATATATTTGTTTTTTTCAATTTAACTACAGATATATAAAATATTTATATTGACTTTTCATCTTTATTCTAACGGGAACAACAAACAACATCGACTAATTTAGCACGTAAATATATATAAATAGAAGAACTCTTTCGTAATAATTATCGGAAATTTAAAAATTTTATATTTAAATAAAAAAACATTTTCATTGTTAGAGATAATTAAATTTTGTTTTCTATTTTAAGAAAGTCACGAAAGAATACATTCTTGCTGATGTTAAAATCGATTTTATTTTAACTGTGATATTTATCACATATTACAAAATAGTAGTAGGTTGAAAGAAGAGAAATTAATTTAAATTTTTATTTAATATTTATAGTCA